GTCGAAGTTGTCTCAAATCCATTTCTTGATGGTCATAAAGTAAATCGTAGTGGATTGAGGAAGGTCACGCCATTAAAACATTATATAGCAATTTTTGGGTGCATGGTTACGCGTGCAATACATTTGGAACTTGTTCGAGACCTGTCTTCAAATGCGTTCATTTCTGCATTATTCCGGTTTATCGCCCGTCGAGGTCAATGTGTAAAGTTATATAGCGACAATGGCACTAACTTCTTTGGCGCTAAAAAGTTACTTTTGTCGTGGGCATCTAATTTATCTAAAGAGAGCAAGTTCAATGATCATTTGTCTGAGTTTGGCATTGAATGGTAGCCCGCATTTTGGCGGACTGTGGGAATCTGCAGTTAAATCGGCGAAACAACATCTTGTTAAATCTAGTAACGGTGCTCTTTTAACTTATGAGGAAACTAGTACATTGTTGTGTAGAATTGAAGCGGTCCTCAATTCTAGACCTCCCACTGCAACGTCTTCTGATCCTTCCGACTTCAACGTTCTGACTCCAGGGCACTTCCTAATTGGATATATATATATTGTCATTGTATAATCATTTAATTTTTAAGCTCTCTACTTGAGTTATTCTGTTTATTTGTTGTAACATTATTCTAAATATTCCAATCACTAATCATGTTACAATATTTTTATTAATCTTATCCTGTAAAGTATCATAAGTTTTCCAGGCGGGGGAGGATATTTGCGCTCGAACCACTCCCTTATCATTATTATTCTGTTTATTTATTTTTGTTATGTTGGTGTCAGTGGGACTCAGCAACGACAATTGTTCGGGCACCACTGTCTAGACACGGCATATTATGTCCTGAGTCGGCAGTTATTTTTTCATATTTCACTTTTTTCTCGCTGCTCTTAAGACAAACACCTATCTTGCCTTTTTTTTGTGTTCTCACATGATCCCGGTTGTTCGGCTTAGTTAGCTCATCAGCGGCCATTTTGTTTGTTGTTTGGTTTAATATGGTGTGAACATCGGTTGTTTATATACGGCATGTATCGTTTGGCCACTTTCTGATACGGTTGTTGAATAGTATTATATTTGCAGGAGGGTCAACATCATATATATTATTTATCGTTGGCCAGCAATTCTTGGCTTGCTGCGTATGGGTTGTTGTTTTTATATTGTTGGCTGCAGAGTCATTGAAAATTTTTTCGTAGTGTGTTTAGCGGTGGTTATGTGAGTGCGCCAGATCAACCTGCTATTTTTATTGTAATACTTAATTTATTATATACGGATCTGGGCACCACATGGCACCATAATCATACTTAAGGTACGTGGTGCACCACATATTATATTTGATTAACTTATTATTATATTGCTATAGTTGTCATATTGTATTATATTGTTATATTGCCATATTGTATTATATTGTCTAAGGCACAAACTTATTATTATATTTTGCAAATCGCATTGCCTGTTAATCTTTATATATATGTACATTTGATACTGTTAATTATTATTCATATATACTGGACCTTTAAGTCCACAAATTGTTTCTGCTGTTTCTTATTGTATTTTATCAGTATTATATATTACTTATTATATTAGGTATATTGCTAACTAGGCTGATACTCAAATATTATTTTATTACCTGTGTGACTTTTTTATTATTTTATTATACAGTCCATTACCAATTCAAAATTTGTATATTTATTCAGTGGAGTAACCCTGAACTATATTAAAACTATATAACAGGCTACGCCCCAACAGTTATAGACTGTAAAATAGTTTTGGACAATTTTAACATTTAAATTACCGAAATCATAAACATACATAAAACATAATATATAAAATACATAATATTGTATAACAATTTCATATATAAATAATGTATTAATGTAAAAAATGTAATATATGATAAGGTCATCGTACCAATACCTTAAAAAACCGAGTTTTTTTTTGTGGGAGGTATTATAGCAAAAATTTAAAATAACAAATACATTACTAACAATAAAAATTTATTGTATTTTAGATTCTGACTGCAGCGATAAATGTTTATTGTTTTTACAATGAAATGTGTGTGTGTGTGTATTTTGTTAGCCATTAACATTTTGATTAGTAAAAATGCTTTGATTTTCAACATCACTAATTTTTGATTGAAATTTTCAATTTTTAACTGTTAGTTATAAAAAGCGTTGGGAAAAACAATAAAATAGTAATTCTTTTTAGTATCGGTACATCAGAAACTAATCACCGTAGAAACTAAAAATTTTCACCAAATATTTATATTAATATTTTTCATATATATCCCACACAGCATAATAATGTTTTCTGGATATGGAAAAAATATTTTAACGAAAATTATGTAATTTTCAAAATATTTTTTAATAATAACTGTCAAAAAGTTGCGAGAATAATTAGAAAATATTTTTTAAACATTTTTTGGCCAAGAAGTTTACGTTTTCAAAATATTTTTAAAATATATTTTTGAAATGTATTGTAGTAATATTTTTAAAATTTGAACTTCTTCATAATTTAATATTAATGGAATATTTTCTCATTATTTTTGTCAATTTTTAGCATTGATCAGCAAACATTTTAGAAATTATATAATTTCGCTGAAAATATTTGATATATTTATGAAATATTTGATTATTAACATTATTATTGATGAATATAGGTACTTTTAAGTGAAATAAATTTAAAAAAATACAATTTTAACAATATTAATATGTTTCTTTTATTTCAATTAATTAACTTGACAATATTCTACCTACAATATTGTTATTAAAAGAGAAAAACAATTTGTCAACTATAAACATAATATTATTAAAATTAAAATTAAAAGTTTAATAAGCTAATGAGTTTTTATTAACTGTAATTTATTGATTATAAAAAGAAAAAGTCACGTATATAGTCATTTAAATCTAAATTGTAATGTTATCTTCTTTATTTTTTCGTTTTAAATCCCTGAACTTGGCTCCTGCTAAATAATCTTTGAGTGGTTTTTCTATACTTAAAGATGGGACATCTTTGAATTCCTTGATATTTCGTATTGTATCTGTAACAGTTAATACTCCATTAATATGTATTATATATATATATAATATATATATATAGTAGTTGATATTGGGTCACCAATATAGAATTAGTTGAGAAACAATGTTGTAAGCTACAGTAATTATAAAATAACGCTGGGTTGTATGAACAATCACTTTATATTTATTGAATCACTATTGAACCAAAAGCCAATGGTCCCTTTAACATGATTTAGTGGCCCATTTTTGATGAATTAATTAATTTGTTATGCAACCTGCCAGGCATTAATATGTTTATGCTTACCAAATATAACTGATCAGGATTTCAAAGAAGAAAATGCTAATTTCTTTTTTTGGCCAACAAATGAATACTGAGATAGGACACTATTAATGAACATTCTTGACAAAATATGACGCACTGTTTCAGACAAAGAACTGCGAACCAACATACTAAGGTTCTTTACCTAATAAAAATAAAGAAATACAATAAGCTATATACTTGTTTTTGTATATATTATGTACTATAATTAATAAAGTATATAGAATGATTTTTAAAAAAACCTATATTGATTATTAATATATGTGAATAACTCTAGATACATTAAAATATAGTAATTGGGAAGTATAAATTATAATATATATTATGTTTGATAATAATATGAATCAAAATATTTACTATTTTAAACCGAAATGTTTTATCCTGTAGTTTTGTTTCAAATAGTAAAACATCCACTGTAGTAATAGGGAAATTCCACAAAACTGCATCATCAGATTGGTTACCCAATTCAAATTCTTCATGATTATTAAATGTTCCTTTATTTTCCAAGCGATCAACCTTGGATAGGAGTTCTTTTAGATCATATTTCAGAGAAACTACAATGCGGTAAATTTTATTCATCTTATCTAAAAGAAATATATTATACAATGATATAACTAAAGTTATTGAGTTTAATAATTAAAAATTAAAAATGTTTACCTGTTGATTCTAAATCAACTATAGATTGAGAATTGGTCAAGAAATCATTTTGATTAGCAATTTCTGAAATAAAATGAGTTATTTTAAACATTCAACAATGGATAAAAATATTTTAGTTACTTAAAGATTGTGATTCAACATATTCTTTTGGATTTGAATGAAAATTCAATTTTTTTTTACATGACACATTTTTCAAAGGTTCTGTCAGATCTTTGATTGGAGTTATGATCCATGCCTTTTGATTAGGACTCCTATAACTTTCTTTCATAACATCTGGACTAACAAGCCATTTAATAGGAGATTGATTTTTTTCAACACCTGTGAAAATTTAAGACATTTTTTTCACAAAAGGTTATAACATATGTGATAGCATATAAATCAAACTCCTGTAATACAAAACTCAAATATAATAGATAAATACACATACTAAATTCATGAGAGGTAGACGGCATCAAAGATTTTTTATTGGAAATAGTTTTTTGCGAATTTATTTTTTTTGAAGATTCGACTAAGAACATTTCACTTTCACTTTCATCAGAATCTAAAATAGTAGATATAGTAAGCAGAAATTTTAGTTATACAATTTAAAAATATAATGTATCATTTATAACAGGCTGTCAGTTCATCACTATTTTGTATTTCCTAATACATTTAACTTTTATTCCAAAATACCATAATCATCCACTTTATGAATGCAAATAAGAAATGGTTTAAAGGAAAAAAATAAAGTTATGAGCTGACAACATTAAAACATGGAGCCTTCATCAGCTATATAAATGTTAAACTTTATAAAAAAATAATATATACATGGTATTATATTATATTAAACTTTTAAACACCAATAATCCAGAAATAAAATTTACACATACTAAACTCATGAGAGGTAGATGGCATCAGAGACTTTTTTTTGATACTAGTGTGTGGCATATGTTTTCTCTTTGAAGATTTGACTACCAACATTTCATTTTCACTTTCGCTTTCATCAGAATCTAAAAAGTAAATATAGAAAACTGGAATTATCTAACATCTTACAAATTACAAATATAATAACAAAAAGTATTATATAGGAGGTACATACTTTTTACACCATAAAAATTTACCACATCTTTGGTATTTTTTTTTTTTGTAATTTGGTGGACTCTTGTAAAAAATTTTATTTTTGAAGCTTAACGATGAACAATTTTTTTTACTTTGCTTTTTATAATACATGTCTTTATCAACAGATGATAACTCTGATGTAGTTGTGGCTTTATTTGCTTTTAATTTAGCTTCACTTAGAGAATCTGAAATTAAGTAAATAAAACAACTTACAAATAATGTTAGATATAGGTAGGTGCCTAGTTATTAAATATTGTACACTGATACTTACATGTTTTTTCACCCATTTTCTTAGCATTTAGTATTTCATGTCTAAACTCATTAGGTTTTATATTTTGTTCAATAAGTTTATTAATATTTTGACCTTTTTTGGGCCACACACAAGATCCATTACTATACCAAATATTTGGTACCGCCTCCACCGAATCATCATCTTGGAAATGAACTACTATATACATGCTTTCTGAAAATAAATTATTCTAAGTATAAATAACAACTAAATAAAGAAATATTAATTGATGAGAAATATTGACAATATTATTTACTTATTAATAGCATATATATTAAATAGGTACGATTACTATTACTTTATATTTTATGCTGCTATCATAATATAAAATTAAGAAAGTGAAACATACACAATCATATTTATTATAATATTCAATATAGTTACCTATTATCTTAAACTATAATATAAACTATAATTCATTTGAATGAATTACAGGCATTGCAATGTTATTGTTCTTGTGTTTAAATAAAATCATTTTTTTCTTGACATCTTTAAGATACCAAAATTTATAAATATCATCCAATTCACTTRCAATATATATATGGAACATTGTTGAATCAATAGGTTGTTCAAAAAATGGTTGTTTAACTTTAAACATTTTTCYTATCAGTACCGTGTCATTAGTATTTCGTTCAGTTGCAATGTTGTTTACTTGTACAACATTATCTTCTTTTGTCAATATATAAGAATCTGATGCTCTTTTTGTTTTTATTACAAATCTTTTTAGATAAATTGTCCGGTATTGTGGATCAGTAAGGTCATTTAACAATGGCCCATTTGAATGCTGATGTTTTACATTTATTTCAATATATATTTTTTTAATTTGTTTATTAACTGCTTCTTCGTGGTATCGCTTAACAACCTGTTGTAATGGCTTTTCATGTTTCCTTACTTTTTTTTTTAAATATTTCATAAAGTTTTCAAATGGAAAACAACTTATGTTATCTTATRGGCCAAAATTTTTGTAATCGTCTACTAAATGTAAAAGCCCGTGTACATTGTACGATATTAAGTATGGTTCATAAATGGTTCCAAAGTATTGCACAAAATGATTCAAAAGTTGTTCTGCATACTCAATAAAATCCCCTTTGTCTGGACTCAGTAGTATTARCATTGCAATATTAAAAGACATGAAATGCTTATAGCAATCTTCATTTAAAATTGTTTTCAGAACTATTGGCCCTGTATACAATAAAAATTGTCTGAGTTCTGTAGCCTTCCATCTATGAATTTCATTTATGCCTCTTGGTTTTCGAGAAAATTCAGATGTCAAACATGGCGCAAGTAATAAAAGGGAAGTTKATAATATTTTAGTTTTTGAACTAGGAATTCTAACTTTTAATGGTCCATTGTCAATCCATAACAGTATCATTTTCCTAAATCACTTGTGTGATGTTCATCATGTTTTCTTGTTAGGTAATCATTATGGGTACGAGTAATAGATCCATTTGGAACATAGGGAAAACATGATCGGTTATTTAAATATTCACCTTCATGTAAACAACGGCTACATGAATGATATCCCGTATGGCCTTTAGTCTTTAACACAAACGACCTAGCTGGTGCATCTAGACAAAAAGCATTGATTGTAATTGACTTATGTATATTATTAATTGTTATACCACTTTCTATAAGTTCTTTTGCTTCTATAACAAATTGTTCTAAGTATAAATTAGAATATTTGAAAAACCGATCAATTTTCCAATAATTCTTTTGCTTCTATAACAAATTGTTCTAAGTATAAATTAGAATATTTGAAAAACCGATCAATTTTCCAATAATTCTTTTGCTTCTATAACAAACTTTTCCAAATATAAATTACTATCTTGTGGCTTTTTATTGCCCCAATATAAGCCAATAAGAAATACAAAATTATTATAAGGTCGAATGTATCCAAGTATTGGCCAAAATTGACTGTTACTGCTTTTGGTTAAAGGCAAGCCATCTATGCCAATAACAATTTCAATAGTGTCTGTTTCATTATTTGATGAACAATTTTTAAAATGTAATTGAATACCTGTGCCTAAACCAAAATGGTAATATTCACCAGGTTCAACACTATAAACTTGTAGTGCAGTTTGGATAGTTAATGTACTCATAACAGTTCGGCTATCTTTTGGCAAATTTATCAGGTTAAAAGGATCACTCCGTAAAACCTTAAGTAAACCATTTAAAGTAGTTTGATTAACATTAAAATCAGCAGACCATTCTGAAATTTTCTGTTGCATTAATATAGTTGTATTACAAAGAGTATTATCATTATCATCTTCACTAATTGAATTTGGTATGGAAATATTGGCAGAAGCTGATTTATTAGTCGAAATTAATGGTTTTGGAAATTGAGGAATTGTAATATCATCAGATGTACATGTATTATGATCAGTGTTTACAGAATTTGGACATGTGTCACAGTTACCTAGATCTTCGACAAGATTGGTAAATTCTGCAGTTGTTGACTGAACATTATTTGAACTATTAATTTCACTACAATTATTACTAAGATGTTCGACATTATTGATAAATTCCGAAGTTGTTAAACGAACATTATTTGAATTATTAATATCATTATACATAAAACTGTCATTAAATTGTAATTCTTCGTTTAGCTTTCTACGTTTGGAACGACTACTTTTAATCATTTTACAACCTAYTGAAACAAAATAACCAGTTAAGTTTGAAGTTACATAAAAACACATTTTAATAACATACAAATTCACGAGTCAACAAATAATGTATCGTCTTGGGTTGTGGGCAGCTAAAAAGCTACATATTATAGTTCATATACTACACTTGTATCGTAACAGCAATGTAATAAAAATAATAATTACCTGGGGTTTGGAACGTAGAACTTGATGAAATGTATGAATCAGCTTCTATATGACACAGCTAGCAATATAGTACACAAATTACAAAAGTACAAAACACACTGCATAAACGACAAACGACAAACGTGTTCACTCGCCGCCAAATGCCAATAAGTTATATTATAACAGAGACTATATTATTGACTATAATAATATGTCTATATAATAACAACTGTAAACCTATAAGTGACAATTCACAATGCCACAGCTGCAGTACAAAAACAAAGGTTGCGTCGCGATAAGCCGTCGTCGACGGTTCGTGGTATTAACTGGAAACACAGTTTATTTATATAAATAAATAAGAATAGCATGGCCATTGGCCGTGATAGACTTGACCGGGTAACGATCTTGTAGTGCAGAGGGGGTGTGAGCTGGCCGGTSGCTAATGGACAATGGTAATGCTTGTGCGCGGAGGGGGGGGGATATTGTGAGTATATCAGGTAGGTTTTCTTCGTATATTATGTATATTCGTATATTTCGTATATTATGTACAATGATATTATTATCATTTATCATATAGAATTAAAATTTAATACCAAATTACCAACAATATTAGACACACTTGTAACTATTATTATTGTTCTGTGCTATTATACAGCAGAGTGACATCGTCCACTT